CCGGATGGAAATTTCATCTTTCGTGAGACCACCGGGACTGCTACAGCTGCCCAGGTAAACAAATTTGTCTGCTACCTCAATCGGTTCATCCTCAAGCACGAGGCCAGGGTTCGAGCCCACCCAATCTTGCAGTAGCACTTTACACTTTGCAGGTGTGAAGCGTATGCCGAACCGCGAGAAGTAAGTATTTAGGTTATTTAATATTGTTTGTCTAGGTGGGCTCTGTGCGCTCTCGACCTGCTGAGATCGTTCGATGTTGCTGATTAATTCCACTATGCCGAACCGCGAGGCAGAAGTATTTAGGTTATTTAATATTGTTTGTCTAGGTGGGCTCTGTGCGCTCTCGACCTGCTGAGATCGTTCGATGTTGCTGACGAATTAATTCCACTGAAGGGCTGCAGTGTACCACCGTCAAGTGGAATATGATTGCGGGGTTACTTCCTGCCAGTGGAGCTCAAATCAGAGTGATGACCTTTGTTAGGACGTGCTTATCTTTGTATGAAATGGACCAGAAGACGTTACGAGGATAAATGCTAAAAAAGATCGAGGTTTATGGCCCTTTTCATGAAAAGTCGGTTCAAAAGGCATTCGCCTTTCTACGAAAATGGTTGCCGGCCTAAAATCCGTTGATTATGAAACGCATCTCGTGGTAATTGGCCCATCTCCCCTGGATTATCATCGCTTCCGATGAGACCTATCAATTACCTACGTCCTGTTTGAACAAGGTTCGGCCAACAGGCTTTTACCGTTGACCCAACTGACACGGCGGGATATAGAATATTTTCAAGCTCAGAGCGCACACCTTTATTAGGCAACACTTTTTCTCGTTCTAATTAGTTAGTGCTTGGAATAACCTTCCTCTGACGGTTGTTCACACTGCATTGAGTGCTTATTTCAAAGAACTTTCAGGCGCCTTTTTGGCTGAGTTCTCGCGTTGGCAAGATTACTGTCTCGCGCTTAGAACTTAAAGAACAGTATTGCACCCTTTTTTCGCTTGTGCCTTTTAGGCGAATGGAAGCCACTGAGCAACAAAACTAACCCGATCCGGGTAGCTTGTGCGAAAGCCTCGATCTCGTGCGTATACCCGTGAGAACGAACTGATGAAAATCACAGGGAAACCGAGATTTTCCCCATTCCAGCCACTGTAGACAACAGCCACGCCTTGTTTCAGCCGATTCGACCGACGAAAAAGATGGAACAGTGATTCGTTTTCAAATTTATCGTCTTTTGTGATGGGTGATTTCTTTCAGCACAACTTCTAGAAGGACACAGTAAGTCTCAATGGAATGTCGACACCAGCCTCGAGCCAACAACAGCAATAGAGTGTAAAATATTCCTTCTCCAACGTAACAGGACACCCTTCCCTGGTGGTCTATATCCGCACTTTTCCGAAGCCATAGTGAGGGACCAGAAGACCCTACCGCAGTAGATTTGGACAGTAAGCAGAATTCCTGTGGAAAGCAGCGCCCCGACTCTGATTCCAATCTCCAAAAATGGTCCAAGAAAGACATGCGAAAACCTTCGTGGCGGCATCCTTGTAGCAGTGACATCCAAGTTGCTCACTGGCTTTATTTGGCACCGCCACACCAATTATCGAGATTATCCGGTGACGAAAACTGTAGTAACTAGAACACTGTTTATAGCTGATAAACTCTCCTTAGGCCCCAACAGATTGTAGCTCTGATCATCTCAGGAGCAGCTTCTGCAACGTTTCGTGGTGGCGGCCGCCGAGATACTGATGCGCATGCAAGTTGACTTATCACTGCTGAGGCTCAATTAGTCGGTCGTCTTGGACTGGAATCGAGACGGTCGGACAAGGGCAGTTTGAGCATCTTTTGGTGGCAGGTTAGAAGCTTAGGCATTGTTATGCAATATGAATGTGCATGTAGGTTGACTTAACTATGCTGAAGCTCAATTTGTTGGTCGTCTTGGACTGGAATCAAGATGGTCTGACAACGACCAACGCCTGCTGTAGGTATGCGATAACCACAGACTGCTTCTGTTCAGTACTAACTTCCAAAGCAACCGAAGCCGTTTGACCACATGGTGCCCAAACATGCCAGTCAACCTCCAACACAGATTGATCACATCGCCATTAGCTATAGGTGACACGGGTCTGTTACCGATTGTCGCTCGTTCTGGTACACCTACGTGGATTTGAATCATGCGCTTGTTTGTTTCTGCTTCTCGCTGCGCTTCTCAGGGATGCGTAAGATCCGTGCACCTCGCTTGGTCATTGAGAAACTCTCGGATCCTGATGTGAAACCAGTCCACTAGAACCACTTACTGAATTCCCTCTCGGACAACACGTTTTCCGATGTTGGCTCTTACCAGAAGGTACCGTCCTTAACGCTGCAAGACGCCGGCGCTTCGCTTGTGGAATAGTTCAATCAACTAGACATAGACCCTGGATTTCGAACAAGACTCTGAAATTGCTCGAAGCTTGGACACGTGCTCCTCCCGATCGAGAGTACAACACCAGTAGACGAACCATCAGACTTCAGGTGAGAAAGAGTATCTGTGTGAATGGAAAAACCAGGTGGATCCAGAAAGCTGAAGAGACTAAGGTGAGAAACTCTGGAAATGTTTGTAACCCGTTACAACTGATGCGCAACAGGTCTAGAGAAGCCTCTGGTGAACGAAACAATAATCGTTCTTTGGGTTGAACACCTCCAAGGCCAATTTAACTGGTCAGCGGCATTTACTCGGCCAGATATCCACGACGGCTCCTGAAATGAACGAGTGCCTCTTGTCCCTCTAGCGTCCCCGAGCTGCCAGTTCTGAGGAACTCCCGCCGGCTCCGCTAAAAGATGGAAGTGAGACCCTGGGTCGATGCTCGCCTAACTTATTTGTCTCTGTCTGGGTGAAAGAGACTCCCAACCAGTGGGAGTGAGTCAACAGTGATGCGTATCTGAAAAATGATTTAACAACAACGAGGGAATTAGTTTGACTTCTGTTGTGACTAGACTCTGCGTCGTCTTACGGAGGTACGTGATGACGGGACCTGAGAACAACAGGCAGGACGCCGACCAGCAAGGGACTGTGTGGACCACAACTTCACACTGTGTCGTGTATCAGAGCAACGGAATATGTATGGGCGCCCTGCAATCTTGGTGTTCCTTGACTTCACGAGTGCGTTCTGTTCTGTTGACTCGTTAGTTCTTTTCAAACACGCTTGTGCAACAAGGTATGCTCCAGAAATTCGTGAATGTCGTGCGCTGTTTGTATTCACATGCTGCTGGGGATATCAATACCTGTGGACGCGTGAGAGTGTATGGGTAAGCTCTCCAAAAGCTATTCTACAATCAGTGATGTTCGACAAGTATGTCCACTCTCTTTTTGTTTAATTTTACCTCCGATGAAGTTGCGGGGCGAACACTGGAATGTCTCCCATAATCAGCATCATTATCATCATTGACAGCATAACATCAGTGTTCAACACTGATGCTTCGCTACCGTACAACAATGATTTATTCGAAAGCCTTATTGTAGGCATGGAATAGACTTAGTGCTGGCTTCCTACAATCATTCCGAGGTGTATAACCCTCCAGACACTCGTCTAAGCAGTCTGGATAGAAACTGACAACAAGAATGCCACTGACATCGGTTGGCAGCCATATATTGCAGCGTTTCCAACCAGGTGCAGTGGGGATTACGTGGTTCCTAACCTGGAAGGCTAGTAGCACCGGCCAGGACCAACAGATTCGATGTGATGTGATTAAAAGACGGGTTTAAGTGAAGCATGCCTTACTTCACTGGACGAATGCATCTAGCTCTACAAGCTAAAGTGACCGGGCCATGTATTATGCATGCCAAGCCTACCGAGATGAGCACAGTTTTTCGTGCCTAATTCGGAGTGTTAGAAAGCTAGTTATTGACAGGATTTGACATGGCAGAAGGGAATGAGGGATGGTCCTCCTTCCAGGATTGGGTCCCTGTGCTTGGCTGGAGATTTTGGACAATATCATGGCTAACCGATGTCAGTGGCTTTCATGCTATCAGTTTCTATCCGGATTGTCTGATTGGGTGCTGCAGGTATAGGCACCTCAGATGTTTCTGGTAGACTTGCCCTAAGTCTCCTCCTTGGCTCGTTTTTCTTCTCCGCCATAAGTTTTATTCAAATGAATAGATATTGTATGGGGAGATGGAGCACCAGCGTCGTTCTCTGGTGTGACTGTCTGTGGTGATACTGGTGGTGATGTTGCTCTGTATTCCCTTTCAGGCTAGAGAGATCTGTCCATTCTTTTTGAAGAGGCGATGTGCCTATGGCGAGAAGTGCCTTTTTGCGCACGTCCAACCAGCCACAGTTCCAAACACTGCTGCGTCGAAGTGAGTTCATTCTTGATCTGTCTGCGACTTTCGGTTATCGCAAAACATCGTTTTTCTTTTTTGAGCAATTTAACTCAGATTCATGTGTGAATTCTATGGGTCTACATTTTTATGATTATTTACAGCTGTTTTGGAGGTGATCATGACACAAATACTATGCGTTCTTCTGCCCCCATTTCAGGCAGCCCATTGTCGGTCGGCTGCTAATTGCTGCCATATTGTCTTCAACTATCTGTTTGATGGTCGGAATTCTCCGTAAAAGTTCAGCATTGTTAGATCATGCACCACTCATGGTCCAAAAAAGCTGGCTTCACTTGGATAACGATAGTGTTATGGTCTGGTTGGAAGGATTCAATATTTTCGGAAGCGGTCGTGTGACTTCCTTCAGTGGTCGCGCGTAGGACTGCCACCGCGTGAGTTCAGGTCACCGGGACTCCACTCAGGCTACTTATTTTTAACGACGGCAGATTTCGAACCTTCACTTGTTTTTGGGAGCATTTGCTTCTCAACTGTGAAAGATACTCGTGAAAGCGATCGAAACGAATTGTTCAACAAACAGAGCCTAGTTTTTGTGATTGTCGTCAATGCAAAATATCATGAATTTATTAAAAATAATACCGTATTTACGTGTGTTCCATTGTGCACACAGAATTTAATGGGTAAGGGGAGGAGGTGGCTCAATGAGGTTACTCAAACGTAATTGCCTGCAAGGGCGTGACAAAACCGATCGGTAGTAAACTCAGTTGTAAAGCTTGTGTCGTACTAGCTCTTTTCCACATGAAACGTACCGTAGTTTCATACTAAATCCCATCCGGGAGCAATCGTCAATGCAGTTGCGATTCCTTTCAAAGCGTTAAAGTTCGTAATACCCTCCTTAAAACCACATCTTTAAAGTACTCAGGTCTTGTGTTAACCTACATTCGTCTATGGTTTGCACACTTCACTTTGCTTTCGATAAAGTAAGGTGCCTTTGTATTCATGGATTCCTGTTTTTGGTGACTCCACTAAGAATTAACCTTCAGCGTTGGCTATGTTGCCGCTCTGCTTGGTTTCCTGAACTTTATCAGAAAGATTTCGTCTTGCTGGCACGTCTTCCCAAGCTGATTCTTAGATGTAATGGACTTTCTATCTTTTTCCTTCTACTTCCCCATTAACCAGCACCTTACTACTAGTGATTCTTCTCGTTTTTCCGTTATCTTAATTACAATTAGTCATAATTAAAATTACAACTTTAATCAGTACTCCGATCTTTTGGAATCGATGTCGACTTCTCATACGAGATCAAAACCTAGGACTACTTTTTATAAAAGACACTACGTGCCGTGTCACTACTGTGCAGTTTTTGGTCCCTGTTTACTAACCGTAGTACCATTTAACCTCATCTCCAAGCGCTTGTGTTATCGTAACCTCTTGGTTATATTCTCAGTTTGTCATATCTGTTATATTCACTAAGATTTCGATCTGCTACTGATCTTGAATCATTACATCCGTTTGGGCTAAAATACCGGTTATGCTCTCCAGAAGCAAATGATAAAAGTGTGAAAATTTTTTGAGGCTTGTTTTCCATCTGCTAATGACTTGTTTTCGAATAAAAACTGTTCAGCAACCTCGTTAGTATCAAGGAAAACTAGTTAGCTGTCATGGATCTTTGCCCAAATAAAACATGGAATGCAGCACATTAGTTGATAGAGGGCTCAGACGAGACTTCTTTGAGTCTCACATTGACACTATTTTCATCTGCAAATTAGTGTTTCACTTGGCAACTACACTTTCGAGCACACGTGCATTGACATGATCACCAGCGACTGACCAATGTGTGTTCAATAGGTTTCGAGGAAAAACGTGAAGGAAATCTTAGAAGTAAATTGGGCGAAGCTAATCAAACTGGCGTCAAGGGCGATGTTCAAGTTTATTAGAGTCAAGGCCAGTCGAATCGTTGGGCTACCTCCATATTTAGGACGAACAATCGTTAGGGATAGATTTTTGTTTTGTCGCAACCATATAGAGCTGCTGTGGAAGACCAGACCCTGTGATTGGGAATTGCCGATATTCAACAGTGGTTTCGCATGTTTCATATGCGTAGCTGTGGCCAATTCTACATGGACACAATTTTGCAGATGGATGAGTGGACCCAATAGGATATTTTCTGGAATGCTATCTAGGAACGGATCATTGTATGTGATTTGAGTTTCGAATTGGAACTCTAGCATGATCAAAATGTAAGTAATCTATATATTGGACTGGCAAATATAATTCAATGATTGCGCCGGGTTCACTTCTAAAAACGTTTTCCCCCCACCCACCTATTCTCTTTCGTTAGTATCCTGAACGTGATCCTCAATCACTGTCCCATTCGCGGTGCTACGCGGAGTATTAGTACATTCACTATTTTGCGGTTTGAATTTGACTGCATTTTGAATTTTACCTTCCATCGGCTTTCATTACGTTAAATGCCTTCCTCAACTGAGGAAATTGTGATAGGATCTCACCGTCGATTGCGTATAGATCTTACGGTAGGTGACGCCAAATAATCGATATCATTCAGTACAATAGAAATTTTGCAACTGTCTTTTCTGGTCTCCTGTGACTTATCTGTCCACAAAATCGCCATTGTTTTTCTTCTTGTTTCCGGGCCCTCCACGATACCATGCAAATTTTTCGCTCATGGCTACTGTCGTCTTGGAGCCAAATGTCGCTTTGCGCATGAAGTTCCTGGTAGGTTATCCTATTCTTTATTTTTGTGGAGTTTTGCTCGAAATAAGCTTAATAGGTATAAATGTGGTTTCGGTTTGTGAGCTATGCTTATTCGAACTTTCCGCGGAACGCAGGTTTCGAAATATGTTTCACAGCTATCCTTTTTAGCCTTTCTGTCCGAGTTATATTAAGCTACGCCGAAAGTTACTTAGCATTTTTCACCATGTTTACGTTTGGGAGTGCGCTGACGATATTGCTCTTTTTGGATCGAACCCCTAAGAGATGCGAACTTTTAAATAATTTAAATGTTCTGCACAGTTCGGGATGCGCTTTGCACTTGTGAGGTGTAAAGTGCTGCCACAAGATTGGGTGGGATTAAACCCGAACCTTATGCTTGCAAGTGGACCGACCAGTGTGTTAGATAAGTTCGGAGACTCTGTGTTTGACCATCGGTGCCTCCGAAGCATTGTGGACATCGGGTCAGTAATGGCTAGGTAAGGCAGATGGTAATCCGGAAGGTCCACTCTCGGTCGATAGGTCAGCTGGTTATAATCCTTAGGTTGCACTGGTTATGCCATGTACTTCGTATACCAGATGATGGGTTGCTTCGTAGAGCTCTCTGCTCCAAACTTTAAGTTCGGTGGAGACAACCGAGTCAGTCCATGGAAGCTTTCAGCTTTCAGCTGTAGCACCCTTCCGGTGCCTAGCTGCCATGCCACCCGAAGGAAGCACGAGGGCTGGGATACTGCCAGGTTGCCCAAGCCTAGATAGGGGAAGTCGAGTGGCGGAGGTCGGATTAGAACCACGGACCTTCCGGTCAGTAAATTTGCGCTCTAACCACTTGGGCCATCTCAGGCCATCAGTCCATGACTTGCCAGCGAAGCATGAAAGTCCCATCGGTCAACTCGGTCGCGTTGCCGTCTTCCCGGATGGGGACCGTAGGACGAGGTAAACCAATGGTTAGTGTCCATGACAGATATGGCTACTTCGGGAAGCCACTGGCGATCTAGCGTCAAAGCTTTCGCGTTCACTTCGATTCTTTCATCTCGATATACTTGACAAATAGATCTGTTTGTCGCCACTGCATAGATCGGATCATCGCCTCCATTGGGTCTGAATTCATTATTCTCTCTATCCTTGGTGGACGAATCTGTAGCAGCTGGAACCAATACACTTCAGTGCACCTCTTGTGAACCGAAAAACTGAAACTACGCATTTTACAAGGTGTACAGCGGAGCAGGAGCTAAACGTCTCAGAAATGGGCATGAATTTCGTGATGAAGACCTTTTATGGGACTTCCTATGGGACTGTCAAAATTTCGTGATGAAGACCTTTTATGGGACTGTCAGTTCAGGGCAGATTTTCCGGGTGTGACAGTACATTGAAGATACAAGGTTTCCCTAAAATAAATCAGGTTCATTTGGTGGTTGACCGAACTGTATGACAAACTTAGCGTCCGCTCATGCAATTTCGTGGATTTTTTTTTGGAAAATTGCGTTTTATCTAAGGCACAGCTGATCAATCTTCCATTCCTCAGTAGTTGAGTTACTTGGGGAGCAAGTTTGAACAATAAATGCACATAAGATTACTTTGTATGTGGACGACAACAGGCAGGCCTCTAAAACTACTACTCACTTTCGAGAAATACATTCGTTTGCAAACCAAATTGATTTGCAAATGAGTGTATTTCTCGAAAACAGTGCAATTTGGGTTCAAGTAGATCATAAGGTTGACGGAAACTCGGGGACTGCGCCTACCTGATGAGCCCCAAGAAGGGCGAAACCGGTCGTGCGCTGTCGAAGAGTTTTCAGCAACCTTGTGAGTAGTTTCCTTTATGAAAATACTACTCACTTTCTCCCGTCAGGGACCTTTTTCCTTTTTTGACCGTCGATAAAGGAAGATCACGTTACACAGAAAAAGGTTAAAAATATTTTTTGAATGCAAACACCTTCGTTACAGTGCCTATTGTACCTATTGTTGCCTATTGTTCATGTTTTGACAGCTTATACAGAGTCGGGTTTTACACACATGCCTCTTGATCTTGGATACTTTTGACGTAATTCAGTGTTTCTGGGTTTTTACGATGAGTCTCCAAACTTAGTGTTAGAGAGTCCCTTCTTCGATTCCCCCGTGCACGTTCAGTGTGTCTTGTAAGTACGGAACAACCTGTGTGAATGAGCCTTTTTGAATTCGACCTTTTTTACTGGAAGCGTACGGTAAAATTCAAAGCTCAGGGCCTGTTGTGCTGCAACGGTCCAGAGCTATTCGCATAGCATTCTGACTATTCTCCAATACAGTCGATTGACTATATAAATCATATATATATATATATATCATACTTAGAACGAGGCTAATTTTATATTTTACTGCGAACTGTATCGAACCTCAGGAAGGTGGGTATACTACGTGCTTGCTTGCCTGGAAGGCAAAGATAAGTTGCCCGTCTATTTTCGGTTTTACACTGTGGGGCACGATTGGGACAAACGAGGTTCTAACTGCTTCGCACTCGGAAAGAAGACATGATTAGTTTTACACCGCGAGGACAAATTAGTGAGCCATGTGTAACAGCAACGCTTTTTTCCTTCAAGTTTGTCCGCTCTTTTGAAGTTGAAATGGCATAAAACACATCATCGCGCATACAGATCACACAGGTATTCAGGATGGGAATAATTCTTTCAGATTTATAACATAATCTGCAGACTACTTTCCTGTACTAGCTCGATTAGCCAGGTTTCTAGTTCGGTCGTTTTCTGTCTGCACCCGTTCGTACGTGTCTCTGGGGTTTGTTTTGCCGGCGACTGCCCTTGACAAGGGACATTGAGAAGGATGAACAGATATCCATTAGTGTTGGGTGTCCCTTCTTCGGAGCTAACGAATCTCGTACAGCTAACCCAAAGAAACTATAGTAGTAATCTTTTAAAACACTGTGAAAGGGAAGTTTGTCTTCGTGTTACGACAACCTTTTGCGCATATGTAGTGCAGGAAATGCTGTGAGAACGATTTTGTTTTTCTGCGACTTCTCGGAAGTCTCGCTGCGCAGCGTGATTGAAACTTTTTGATGATGAACACGCCAAGTGTTATGTTCAATGTGGATTACGGAACGTCCGTGGACTTTCCCTATTAGTATTGAGGTTTGTAGTTTCATGAAAACCAATTCCAGTTAACACACTTTTCTTTCCTGTGACTTCTATCCCATTGCCTTTATGCTCTGGATATACAATAAATGTGTTGTGCTTTCACATATTCCTTTCTATTTGAACTTCAGACGCACGACCCGATTTTGTCTACCGACGGCCATCTGGTGAATCTGACCGTCGAACGCGGTTGTCGAATCGTTCACAGCTTTCTACAATAGAGCGCTCTAATGAGCAAAAGTCTCCTGCTGGCTGCTTGTGGAATGAAAATAGGAATGCTCAAGTACTTCCCACGGACTCAGTCCGGGCGAGGCCAACATTCTCTTTCGTCAAGTCAGAGCAGTCTTTGAAGCAAGAACAAGTGATGGATGCCTCTCATCCCCTAAGTGGTATAATAGCGGCTGCACAATTGGGCTTCAGTGATGCCGATGTGTATACCCCTCTAAATGGACCCCTTTCCCGACAGGAACTCAAAATTTACCAGTCAAAGGATCCTTTCCCTGCTGGTTTCATTCCTCTATTACCGCCACCAAAAGAGATGTGTTTTACCTGATAAGCTGTGTTCTCGCCCACTTTACTATTCTCATTCAGCCACCAGAATGTATACACCTATATTTTTGTATAAATGGGCTACTGTTCATTGCAGGATTGATTATTCAGGCCTCGGGTGATGTAACAACTGTTGCTTATGTTAAAATGCGTGTATAACACATTTCTATGCGCGAGTTACGCACGCACGCAGTCTACAGAATGAACGTTTTTTGGTCCTCGACGCATTCCACTTGGAGGTAGCTGATTTCGAGTTGTTCGACAAAGCACGATGTGGTCCAATGCGATGTAGCGGCAGTGATTTTACCTCTACTGGGCAGGTCGTGTGATGAAAAATAAACGTTCATTTGATCAAGACTAGGATGATCTATGCTGAACTCAGATGGCTCAGGATGATAAGATGTGAGCTACTGGTCCCATTATCCATTGTCTAATTCCCGACCAAATTTTCGGTTTCTCTTTCCAAAACTTCGGCAACTTGCCAGTACAGTCCTCCCCACCACACCTACCTTCGGGAACAAAACTGAATATCTGCTCTCAGATGAAAGGAGCAGGTTTTCTACTGAAATATGCACTCTCTATGCTTTACTTTGTGCAGTGTCATTCAGTTAGTTGGCTTAGTTAACTATTTGTCACACTTTAATAAGAAAAATCCAGCAGTCTCATTTGACATTCCCAACAGGTGTACGAATGAATATAGCCCTTCTACAGTGAGCACTTTTCCGGAGATACTTTACCAAAATCTGTCGTGTACTATCACTATAATTTACTTCGCTTTTATCATCAGCGAAGACAATGTAAAGGCAGTTTGGATGGATTTGGGCGGAGGAGATGAAAACAAATGAAATATTCACAGTGCTTCCGCTGCCCAAACCAACCTTCTACCGTCCTCTTTAGGACTTCATTTTCGCTAACCTTCAACCAAGTTGAAATAGCCTCAATTGATGTGTCTTTTTATCTGCTCCCACTCACTCTTACAGCGAAGCAGAAACCCAGTTGGCGAAATACACTCATTTGCATACCAATTTGGTTTTGACGGGTGACTCACTTGGAATCCAGCTAAATCTCTCGATTGTGATGTTTTTAGGCAGCCGAGTGTAGTACATCAGGCCGCTTTGTTTCATTTGGTACGATATTCGAGATATCGCGATACATTGTACGGCCGTACTGCACTACTCACCAGGTTGCTGAATTCGATAGCCCACGACCAGTTTCGGTCTCCCGTGAAAACCAATTTGGTGTTTTCCTAATTCCATGCAATTTGGGTTCAGGAGAACAGAGGGCTGATATCTAACCGGCAGGCTGTTGGTTAGGCCCACAGTGGGGATATCACGTCGTTGGATCATTTGTGTTAAATGTTTGTCGAAGTTGCGCCTTGACGAATCAATTTACCCATACCTCTTATCGGTTTCTCATTGTATGACTTCGACAAGCAGCTGGGAAACTTGCAGTCCAACTACCCGGCACCCACGCAGTTTGATCTTAGGTCCCAGCACCTCATCAGTCTGTATCACACTCAACTCAGACAGGCGCAGCAGTGTTTGCAGAGTGCGGAGCTTCCATTGTTCCAATCTTGCGAAAACGTGTGGAAATGATTTCATAGCTAAACTTTTGGGTATGTGTTTACATAGAAGGAGGTATAAACCGTCACATTGTCTTCACCGGTTTTCCAATGAGACAAAAGTCTGTTGTCGTGTGAAAGTCTAGTAGCTTTTACGAGATTCTGTTGGCCCACCGATACTTAAGTGCAGCAGTCATCAAAATGCCATAGGAAACAGTCTGTCAATAATTTTCATAGGTTTTACAAAACGTTTGTTGGTAAACTGCCGAATCCTAGTACATGATGACCGTCACGTTCCTCATTCAGAAGGTTTCTCAGCTATCTTGCTCATCAGAAGAATAATTCAATTGCAACTAAAAGGAAGGGGTAACCGAATCTGTCTTTTCTCATTATGTAAGATCGCTTGTGAATACTTTTCATTTGACGTCGCATAGCAAAGCGACCCCACGAAGAATCCAATGATCCGGATCTACCGAACTGTTTAATGCCAGAGGGAAGATATAATTCAAGTCGGTCCGCTTTGGTTTCTTGTAGACTGGACAGCTGTAGACTGTTGTTGCTTTATTCTTGTTCCCGGCAGAGCGTGAGTAGGCAGACACATGTACCACAGGAAGGGCTGTATAAAGCAGCTTAGGGGCGGGTTCCACAAGCCTTGCTAACTTGCGATCCCAGCCAGCACCGTCCAACCACAGACCATGTACATAGACTCCTTCAACCGGGCGTTTCACAACCTCTTCTCGTAATAGTTTGGTAACTTCGTTGGTCAGTTCCACATCGTCAAGAGCATACTTGTTCGCTCGGGCTACTTCTTGACGCATCGCTGTGAGGAATCCCTAGAAATGCAGGGATAAGATTGAAAGTTCCAGTAAGTGCAAAGTTCCATCGGAATACACGCGGTTTATCTTTATTCATGCGTATCCGTACTTCTCTTGTTAGCTAGCACCACAAGTACCGGGCTGTTCTTTTCTATCCGTTTGTCGATTTACCAACAAATATAAGCTCAAATCGACCTATCCCTAGTTCTTGACTAAGGCATCTCTCAACCAAATGGTCACTCACCTCTACAAGGTTTAATGTAGTCTCCTCAGGCCAGCCGGTTTAGTAACCCAAACTGCCTCCATTGTGTTCACACCTCAGAACCTAATGTTCAATCAGTAAGTCTTGTCGATTACCGCAGTGGGATCCTTCTATGATTTACTCTTTCATCCTTGTGTTGCACACTTGCTGGCTTACCTGAGGGTTGAAGAATCCAGTCATCCAATAACTAATCGGACGACCTTGGAACAGCCAAGAACTGAATTGGGCATTTCGGTCCAGCAGGTCTGTAAACCAGAAACCCAAAGTTGCGGATTCCCATGAAATCTGAAAAAGTGGAATGTCGTAGGTCAAGTCATTATTGTCAGGTCGAAAAACTTCGTCTGTTTACCGGCCAGCTGTTGCGGAATACGAGGTGAAAAAACCATATTTCATCAATTTTAACGTCGAGTCACTAAAGGTATCCGTGGAAATCATAGCAGTGAAAGTGTCAAACAGTTCGCTTTCCATGGTTTGTGTATACAAAGCGCAGTACAGTAATTGTGTGAGCTATGCGATTACTGACAGGTTTTGTTTCGTTTCTTCCAAACGTCTGGCTTGCACGCTGTGGCCGGCTGTGCCTCAGTGAAATCCTAAGACAATTTGAAAGTGCGCATTAATGAGGCTCTACCGGGAACATTGAACTTGGCCTTGTACTATCACAACATTAAGAGCACATCGAGTGCAGATAACCACCCTGCGTCCGTTATGTTGTTTCGAAAGATTGCTCTTTACTGCCGGCTAATAACTTGCCGAGCAGTTCAAGACTGTGCAACCACATAACGCAAAGGCTTTCCACGTGGACCCGTCACCTAAACCCATCGAACCGGGTCACTCAGATTTCAGCCCCAAATACTCCATGGTCGTTCGTTTGTGGACGTTCAATTAACTCGTTCTTGATTTCGCTTTTGTATTCTTTCAGTATCATTTATTTTCCCCTCATATTTTTCCATGTACATGGTAAGATTTGTGTATGACCCATGAGGATTTTTAGGGGATCTTTTGAGTGAATGTGGTAAGTCCATTTTACGTCGTCTACATTTGCTCCCGTAAAACTTAAGCACAATAACTTCTGTTGTACTGTAAGAACTTCAAAGGTTGACAGCCATTTTGACGGCTGATTGTTGATGTGTTTCAGAGTTGCACCATTGATCATGAAGAAAGTTGACGTATCGGAGTATTCTGTGTCGTGCGCTCCTTTTTTCGGGCTTCTACTACCTTCTCACTAATGATATCATCGAGTGCTTTTATCTGGAGTGAGATTTAGATGCTTTCTTGTATTAAAAATGAGGACATGATAGTTCCGTCTGCTAGTGGACCTCGAACAAAAAGAAGGCTACAGGAGACACCACAGTATAAAACAGTGACATGAAGCACGTCCAAGATGTAGCCTGTATGAACAGCTACATTCGTGAAGCCTAGTTTCTGGATGCTGACACAGCCATATCACAATAAGGATAGATTTGGTGGACAAAGTTTGTCTAATCGACCAATCTGTGGTTTATCATCACACAGTTTCGCGGTCCTTATCCACTGCCACCTACTCTCATCTTCGTTATTATTCTAACTTTATGGTGGCTGGTGCACCATATTTGCTAGAGCTGACGGTCGTGCCTGTATCATATCCTGTGGACATATTAAGTTCTCACAATGGTTGGATTCGAGTCACAATAGTTATTTAACACTTGGCGGTATTTGTCATCTACCACAGCAACAGTAAAATCAAGGATCTTGTGTAGTGCCATCCTAAGGCTTCTGGCGGACTGGTTCAGTAGGCCCATGCTTACAGTCAACCGTGTGAGTGTCATGTCCGGTCATTTGATCATCTAAGCAACAGGTCTTCGCTTTAATAAGGATAGTTCCAATCAATAGGGATAAAATCCAGGTGAGAAGGTAGCAGATCATTTACCGGATGCCAAAACTTGGATGTCATTCCCCACCAACTGTCGAAAGGACAGATAAACGTACCAAACACAGTCACCACAAATCAAGCATTTCGAGATCAGTTTGGACTATCTGAAGTAATAACCTAGGAAGGGTTCGCGTTGAGCAGTGAACGGACTATATCGTATTACGAATCCCATCCTGTTCAAGGGCACCAGAAAGTTTAATTATTACATACTCAGAACTTATTCTCACAGAGATTGTTCGGTGAGCATGGAAGCTTCGTGGCGATGCGTAATCCACACCTCGTGGAACCTCTCCATATCCATATCCAGGTTTCCATCTAACCATCAACCATATCGCTCCAGCTCACTATGTATTCTATGCACCATTTTGTGCAAAAAGCATATCGTACCTCCAAATGGATGGTCGAGACAAGTAAGGTGTTAAAATGCGCCTCGGGTAGTTCGGTTGTTCAAGTCCGTGCGCCGAATTCGAGGCCTGACCACTCCTAGTTCATAGTGAAACGCATTTTTAGGCAAATCTTTTGCAGAATTAATTTCAGGGTGTCGGGTGAGGAGTCCACTTTCGTTTATTCATCTCTTGGGGTTTAATAACTTTGGGACATGAAATCTGTGTACCACACATTACTGGAAATACATGGAGATTGTGATAGTCGCGAGTCGAACCGTGCACGCTACTGCAGAGGTGAGCTTAAAAAGAGTAACCAAAAAGAGGAACTGAATCTTGTGATAATTACGTCTGAGACCTGATTTATTGGAGCCATTTCAGGTGTTTCTTATGGTCTTTGGATCCTGGTAGCGAAATATCCTTTTTATCTTTTGCAAAAGAATAATTTTTGGGATGGATAAATGCGACCTGTGTGGTTTTTGTTGCCGTTACGGATTTCGCGGTCGATAGTCTTCTGTCGTGGAGTAATTAGCAGGGAATTTTCCCACCTCGCTGATCTCAGTGTAGGAAGTATCTCGGATCCCCTGGAAATCTCAATCAACCGCTATTTATTGCGAAATCTCTTTCCTCCTGAAGAGAGAATGAATTATCCCACGAAAATGAAACCTAACCAAGTCTGAGCTTAGAGAATGAATTATCCCACGAAAATGAAACATTACCCAGGTTGAATAACCCAGTCTGAGCTAGATCTGAAGCATTTGTGGAGAGCTAACTGGCCATGGAGTCTGTGGCTCAACCCAAACACCTGTAAACTCATCCCAGGAAGTGCAGATATTTCGATACCCACCCCAATTACATTGGCTCCAGTCAGAATTGTCATACTCACCTTTCTCCATGTGCTGGGTATACGTGCATCGAACAGACTGTCCAGGGCATCCCGAAGGTTCTCAGACATGACGATGGTTCCATCTATTGCCAGTTTCAAATCCGTCAATGTCGTTCTTACGATTGTGATCACTTTTTGCATTCTGTCAATCTCCTGCTTCAAAAATATGTGTAACGGCTTCAGATGGTCCATTTTGATTAAGCATTCCTTGACCTGCAATGAAATTTTACGAGTGGTAATTCTTCCACAGTAAGCAAACATTATCGCGGAGTGCTCCTCACAAGTCTGTATACTCAATTGTCATCATAATCAAGGCATAGGTTGGATATTGTTGAAGACAAACATCATTACTCAATGCATCACTAGCATATGCCGGATGACCCAGAATCTGGACAAATTGGCCTGTTCCGCATAGCACGTAAAAGCTGAAGTCAGTATGAAAAAGCAACCTTCACCTACTTGAAATGGATTGTAATCTTCCGGGACTTTCTCCAAAATCTCATTTGCCAGACGGTAAACGTTGGATTCACGAGTCTCTCCTGTTCCACCTCCACTATCCTTTGGCTGGATACTGACAATCGTGTCTAACATGGAATTTGTGGTGTTTGTCGAATACCTAAACAGAGTTGATTTACAGGAGACAGTTGGTATTCGAAATAAACATAATGCTGTTTAATGGGCATTAAGTCTATGCTGTGTACTATGAGAACGAACATGGTCGATCGAAGATGGAAAATTTCTCAGTCAGCAAAATCTGTCTACTCATGCTCGGAAGCAACAATTTTCCCTCTCGATCATGTTGGTTAAACCGTTGAGACTCTGAATGGATTTTTTGAAATATCAGAGGGACAAGCAGTTGTGGATGGAATCGCGTGCTTTGCACTGGTCAAGGTCATTCGATGTAGTCATAAAAGCCTATTTTTGAGACATTCAGTGGGATCAAACTACATGCGCTGTGGCCACGGTGCGTTCTTCTGGCATGTCGCACCTTAGTGTATCCATGTTCACCTACCGTCTTCTTGTTTGAACCAACCAATTAGAGATCTGGCCGCTGTGAAAAGCAGCTGCAAAGCTGCTATCTAGTTCCAGCTACTGATACTCTGGTTTCCTGGTGCAGTTTCTGAAAATTCGGGATGACAAAGTTGGAAGATATCAGTAACTATATGGATAATAAGTATAACCGAATCTCATCCAAAATCACACCTCTCAATTAAAAATTTCCTATTGGTGCCGGTGAAGACTGATACTGTAATTGGGAGTCATAAGACTTCCTCTTTCTTCTGGATATTGCTCAGTATTTCGATTAACACGTGCAGTATTGGTATGAAAACTACTCACGTAATATCAGCGTTTGGGTGTAATCCGAAGCATTCAGGGGAGTCAAACAGCGGCAAACCCTCAATATATGCCTGGTACTCCTCTAGAGTGCGACATTTCGGAATGTTGTATCCCCGGTAGAATTCAAAATTGTCAGTGAACATGGCGTCTGAGAACCAGACTTTCGCGTACGTGTTCAAAAGACGTTTGTCGTAATCATCAGTCACTCGGCCACCGTACTGCACCTCTCCAATCATGTAACGCACTGTCGGCCAAGAGATAGGCTGTATGGGAAATGTCATAGAGTGTCACTAAGATGGAATCGATGTATTACAATACTGGTCATATTCAAGGAATTTGTTCATGACTAATCTTGTCAATGAGCCAAGCATAAATCTGTTTTACCACTATGCTGATTTTATGAGGTGTCAGCGTACGCCACACTGTAGTCTCCCTACCTCGAGAGTAATCAGCCCAAAACTGAGAATAACGGGATCATTTCCTTTGGGTAGCTTATGTTTGCGTGAGAGATATTAACTTGTTTTAGAAAACTACCCTTCATAGTTGTGTTATCAAAGCATCGCCTATCAGATCGATTACTGACCACTGACTAGGTTGTCTTAGATCATGCGTCGAGTTTTACTAGGATTCTGGTATGCTGACTCACATTATTTTGATCGATAGAAATGAATTTAGAATTAGTTTTCATTGTGCTATGAGCCCTAAAAGGAGCTAATTATGAATGGTGTCGACAGGCATAAAGGAGCATAATAGTAGACTGTCTACAACTAAAAAAACAGAACTCGGCCAAATTATGTTTGTAAACAATGCCCTACTTAAGTTGATTGACTGATTCTCCTATTTTCATTTGACCCAAACCCTCCACAGGTCACACAACTGGTAGATGTATGTGTTGGGATAGTCGAAACTGAACTTCGTTCCCTATCTGGTATTCATTCCGGAACAGTAACTAGTGCAAAACTGTGATCCTGATGATAAACACTAAATACTGTGTTGATCAAACGCGCACGGGAGCTTCCTACTCCTTCGGTACTTCAGTCAGGTGACTTAGAACTTCCTGTACTTTTCGGATCTCTGACTCTCGTAGTAGGTACGGATTTGGATGCAATTGTACACTAGTGCATCTTGTGGAAACGAGGACCAGTTTTTCAGAATTCCGGACAACGAGGAATTCTGGTTTGTCGGACATAGCTCGAACGTTAACTTTAACAATCTAGCGCATCTCCAGAGACGCAGAGTACTGTTTGAGTCACTTAAAATGATTCTGTATTTGCTCAACAATAACAAACCCTCGGCATCTCTTTTTCAAATGTATGAGTCAGTCAAGGTCCACTACAAGCAACGTCTCGGGATTTGAGTGACTAAATGCGTTTCTGCAAGGAATACACATTTCTGCATTCAGAAATATTGTCCTTCGTGGATCCGGTTACTGTAATTTGATGTTCTCTACCAGCGGTCGTTACCAATGTTCCTGTTGCATGTAGTATTAAACAAACTTGGATATACATATGTTGCGGTCCTTATTTCGGTTTTAGTGTTGAGGAACTAACAACTACTCGAACGTAGTCACGTATACATGTTGGTTAATAACCCCTATACAGCGATCACAGAAGATAACAAATAGCCACACTTAAAGAGTAACTGAACTAGAGAAGCTCACCAGCGTGGTCATTCAATTTTGTTGCACTGTCAAAACTTTATATTCAAAATACACGACCCACCGAATCTAACAGTCATAGTTCAGGGTCAATTAATCACCTTTTTCGAACCGACCTCATCCAGGTGGTTTTGTACAAACTGTACAGTTGATGTGAAATCAGCCTGGTTGAACTCATATGGAATATTCCATCCGATTGGACCGAATTTGCGTCTTTCTTGTACGGTGGTATGCAGAAATGCTACTCCATACAGCAGTGGCTTCCACTGAGGTAAACTGCTTATTTCTAATTGGTCTTGTGTGAGCGTTGCGTAGGTGCGGCGCAGGCCAGCGCGTATGCCCATCGGAGGGTCGTAAGTGAACTTGATTGAGGACTGTAGTAGGCTTATCGGGAATAGAGGATTGACTTCAGTAGTGAGCCAGCAGCGAAACGCGTCGTGAACACCATCCGAAGTTGTAATCTGTGGTCATGAAAATGAAAAATAATCATGCAGGTAGAACGGTGTTTGTGAGCTGGGGTCATTTCAAGAATGTCTTGTGCTGTCCGAACCACCTGTTCATTTTTCAAATGCATGTCACCAGCGAAATTAACTACCACTCGTGTGAGCTTGAAGCCCAAGAGCTCATAAAAGCATGTACTCATGGGAAATTTCCGTCTGGTGTGGGAGTGATCTGTGGTTGGTCAGACAACTCTTAATAAATTATGGACAGTTTTGGAACAGACGCAGTGTCCTGACATAACGACGAAACCAACAACACCAAAAAACTGGGCACTAGTACAGTCGCACGATATTAGTTACTCACTGTATTTGTTTTCCAGACAACTGATTAAACTCAGCTTCATTTTGTCTGATGAACAGTTGCTTATTGCTTGATACACTATAAAACACAATTTGGTAGTACACTAGTCAGTCAGAACAGGCTTGCCACTGTTCTTAAAGCGAAACTCCTCCGGTTGGTCCTCACCGTGAGTTGCGTCAGAAAGCACAGATGTGACATGAGCAATACCTTGTACAATCGGAGTGCTGGACAGTTAACGACTCCATACCAGCGCACTTTTCTATAAAAATCTATGATAGCGAATTAACGATGGAACCCCTTCCGATACTTCCTCGCCACCACTCCTCCTCAGACGTCCTCGACGAATATCGATTCGGCTAATCCAAAAATACTTTGTGGCATAGGTAATGTGTATGACTCATTGATCATTCCAAAACTTCAAATTTTTGTCGAAAGTACCTATAGTTCCTGAGTGTCGATAGGCCAAACCACACTATTTGCAAAAGTTGTCTCGCAATTTATCCCTAAACCGTAACGGTGACTGCAACGAATAACACAGTGTTTATAACACACTGAGTCGTCTGGCCGCTTCAGACTGAAATTTCTTCACCACCAAGTTATGCACTTCCCTATTCATGATTCGAAGTCATGTAACTCTGTATCTGCTTCATTTGCCACAGCAAGAGGAGTGTTAGAACACGGAAGCTCCTTCATCTCTGAGTATCTTAAATGAGAGGTAGGAACTTATTGTCTTCTACGCATCTAATCTCCTTTTTAGGGTTGTGATTCGATCGTCCTCTGTCTCCTTGTCGCATATCCAAACATCTTTCTGGTTCCTTTTTTAAAAGCAATATCCTAATAATTTGATAATTTTTGCTGTGAACTAGCAATTTCTCATTCTCCTGTCTTGGAATGATAATGGTTTTGTTGTGCAACTTCTGATCGAAATGAAACTGATCCTGTTCCTAAACTGATTCACATGAGACAGCATTAATAGGTTAATTCGAAGGCATTTTCCGTCTTTGTGAACATCAGCAGCAGTACAGAAATGACTTTAACCTGATTGTTCCATTCAAACCTGTTCCTGTGAACCATTTATGGGGGGAATGTTGCGTACACACACTTCAAGTTGCTTGGTCACATTAACAACTTGTATAATCACAGCATTGTGGATGATATTCATAAATATCTCAGTAGCGCGGGTCCGAGGGTTCTTAGTTAGGAGGAGGCGAAATGTACAGAATTAACTAATGGCGTCACGCGTGCTGCGGTCCATTCATAATAAGTGAGACTTTTGACAAACACACTCATTCGCATACCAATGGGGTCTTCACGGGAGACTCACCTGAACCCCAGCTGGATCTCCCGTTTACGACGTTCTTCAACAACCTTATGAGTGGAGTAAGACTTGCCCTTCTGTTTGTCACGTTGACTTATCTGGAGATACACGTGCAAATTCATGCGATGCCATTCCATGCAAACTGGTAGACCCGACGTAGTCAGCCCGATAAGCTCCTTTTTATCTACTAGTCAACGCATAGTACCCAAGAAAATTTCTGATGTACCGTCCAGTGTGAATTTGACTGGCGGTGTCTGCTACATTTCGGTTGTAGAAACCCAATAACCATCCACTGTGGTAATGTGGCATGGTGTCTCGCCAATGTTCTTGATTTCGACTGAATGTGATTAAGATCTGAGCGATAAATCCTTTGGGGTCGCCCAATGCTGGTCAGTTATTTTGTTCGCACATTTTTATGCACTCTGCCAACATCGTCTGAATCAAATGGACTAGAAACGTAGTTTCGTCGAGTAAACTTCTGTCCGTGACTTGATTATCTCATACAATTCAGACTTACGGTTTCCAAAAGTTCATCCATAAAATTCAAACCCAAGTGACAATTTTGTAGCAAAATCCAACGACCCTCTTGCATACTGCAGCTCAACAGGCGCCGGGCGTGGACTTCTTGGCCTTGTCCCATTGAAATCGCTCCACACTCTAGAGAAGGGATGAGATAAGGGTGCAATTAACTTGTGACTGATAAATTTCAAAGTTAGAGCTTGTGCAAAGTACAACATCATTCTAATTCCCGACTACCGTCCAACGAAACGTATTCTGTGTACTGTTCTATGTACTCAGGAGAACCAATTTTCAGATACATACGTGAATGAGCATCTATGTGTTCCCGTTACCGCGGTCCTTTAAACGACCATTGGAGCCAGGCATGACAGACAGAAATAAAGTTGTTTGTCCCCGGATAATAGTTACCAACATTTTTTGTCCTTCCTCGCCAGAATTTGGGGCAAATCTAACTGGGGTTGCTGTTCTTGGCAAAGCTGCACTTAGATTCCATAGTGGAACGATAGCGGATCCTTCTGCTTTACCTTACTTTCGTTGAGTGCAAATTCCTGTGCTTTGTAGGAAGACTTACGCTGACGAGGCAGCTGACAACTGTCAGTCACGGCTTCCACGCTGATGGTCTATAAGCTAACTTACAACCCATGCTGGAGCGTGGCTCATGCTTGCCTGCTTGAAGAATAAGCATATTTGGGCTTGCTGTTACCAGTTCAACTGCCAGATGGAAATCCTCAGTCCTACTTGACGTCAGACTACCAGTGTAACGGCGGATGCTACTGATGAGGTATGCGAGTAGTCTGTGGTTTTCTCGAAGCTCCGCCCCGAGTCCAATGGAAGGTAGAGTTTGTGACGGAACTTGTGGAACAGCTTTGCAGTGTTCGTTGACAACTGAGTGATAGTCAAGGAATATCTATGAAAGCTCAAGAAGATGCGTGAGAATGTTCAGTTTTTAAAAACTATGTGCATTGAGGTGTTTACTTTCCTGTCTAACAGTTTGTAACTGCTTATGTGGTGTCTGCTAATAGACGACTTCGCAGCGAAAGGCTTTCCTCCTCATACCAGTTACATGGGGTAGTTTATTCTTAATATCAGACTGACGGTTGATGATAGAATCAGCAAAGTAATTCAGTGATTTTCATAAAGGAAACTAGGCACAAGGTTGGCTGAAAACTCTTCGAAAGCCCACGACCGGTTTTGCTCTTCTTGGGGCTCATCAGGTAGGCGCAATCCCCGAGTCCCATCAACCTTATGATCTACTTGAACCCAAATTGGGCTATTTTCGAGAAATACACTAATTTGCAAATCAATTTGGTGCAGCACATTCAGTTGTAGAATGTCATAAACGAGAGATTCACTCGAGTCTCTCGTGAAAACCAAATTAATTCAGTGATGTTGTATGACAAAAGAAACTGAGTGATGGATTCAACCGCTCAGTAATGGTCATTCCATTTGTCAAGTAAGTAACAAGGACAATGTATCACCGCGACCTAAGGTATTTGTTTAGAGGCACTTCAGCTTTAGCTACAAAAAGGGACTTGCATTCATGCAGTGAAAACATGCTATCATCGGATCAACACATTTCCCAGTAGATGTTTCTTGCTATGTCAACACCCAACTTTTTTCACTTGTACCATCATTCAGCCACACCGAACTATTGGAGTGGGAAACTTGAATTTACTGCTTAGCGCATCCGTATTCATATTCACACCCGTGTAGCACCTTCGTTCCCCGTTTTTCATATAGGGTTCACCAAATATGCCGCATGCATTCGATAAAGCAAGCCGCTCTCCGAACGTCTGAATTCAACTATTCGCCACGTCATCGTGCAAAAAGTTTGACTTGACTTAACTTGAACTGTGTTACAGTAAACCTCACATTCTTGCTATTGACGAATGCAGAAAACCACCCTACAGTTGGGTCAGGGGGTAGGGGTTTTCGAAAAAGGGGTTGATTGTAACGCTAACTACTGGTAAACCACAGAAAGGCGCTGTGATGACGACGAGTCCAAGGCTTGCAGTTGAGAATTTTGAGAACAACGCACTTAATCCCATTTTCTTTGCGAGACGTTCTATGTTATCTGTGGGATCGGATCCCATTGATAGAAAACAAATCATTGGCGTCCGGGCATCTGCTTCTTCTAGCATCTCTTCCAGATTTGTGATGACTCCTTCGGCAAAAGAGGGACCCAGTGCTTCAGCAGTATACCGTTTAGCCATTGGAAGACATCGATCTGGACACCAAGAACGAATAAGTAGGAGACGATGAAACGTAGTCAGACGGTCGTAACCGTTTGGCAATGAAGCTTCCTCTGGCGCGTTTGAATCGAACCACGATTTCCAATTCTGCAAATAAATGGTGTATAATAAACATTGAGTAATATTTGAGAATTTGGAAGAAAAAGGCTTGCGTCAACAAAGACCGTTTGAATATGTTGAGTGATAGTTATCCGAAACTGTTCTAACCCTGAATGCTTAGTTACTTCCAGTCGGGTAGCTGATGCCAACGATAAATCATGTTTCCGGTCCAAGTTACGCCTTATAAGAACTGTCCGCTGAATCCCCAGGCACTTACTCTCCAGTCCGAACTGTGTCCGCCAAACGGTTTGAAAATAGCAAATTATCATGAACATCACAGATAGTCTATCAAAGAATACGGGATAAAACGGAGTGGTTATATTTGCATAGCATGATCGCCATTCGCTATTTCTGATTCACAGATCAAGGCGTAAAAGAGATGTGCAGGGCACTGAACTGGAAACGGTATCCATAAAAGGAGGGAATTCATCGAGGGTTAACTTCAACTCATGGCTGTGTGAAACCCCTGACTTAGGAGCTTTGAAATGCGAGCAGAAATACTGAAATGAGACGCATTAACTTGACACGGGCTGGACAGCGTCATCTGCAATGACCTCATGTAAACTACCATGTAGCGTCTATTTTCTCTGAAATTCAGTGCATAGGTACATTGTAGAACGGGAAAGGTCAGACTTGGTCTGGAAAGAACACCAGACTGTTCTATTTTTTTCAAGGAGAGGACAAACCATAAGGGAGCTCTTCTCTTTTCTCAGCCACCATGAACGTCCGTAACCGATCACACAACAACCCCAAGGACGTTGTAGTCATCCGTATGATGAAATTTCCACCAGGCATTGTTGTAAAGTAGTCGCTTTTCTTAACTTCACCCAACTGTTCGAGTTCTTGGTACAGAATCGTCTCGATCCAGTTAACCTTCTTTATTTTGACGCTGTGGCTCAACAGCGGTTCAAAAGCCAGTAGTCACCAACTTGTTGAGTATGTATTTGCCTTGAAACTGTTCTGCTTTTCAGTTTACAGTGTGGGAGACATTTTTCAGTTTTGTAATAACCAATGTGCAGTGGTGAAATCGGAAAATACAATTGTTTTAGGTGGGCGAGTCCGAGAATATAAGCTCACCCATCAATTTAGTGTGAGCTTGGAACCCATTACTTGTTTTTCTAACTTGACACCGGCTTTCATTCCTCTAACTCAAACTGCCGGCCTGTCTAGTGAAAAATCTCGCGGATTACATCGGTGTTGCCTAGCGCACTTCTGAGGTATCTATCAGAGTATCAGTTACCCGAATCACATATCCGTTGCACTTATCTGCACACTCGCTTTATTGTGACCTACACAATGCCCTCCAAAGTAGGTAACCCACAAGTGCGTGAGTATTTGGACCAGAGCAGCCATCGGACGGGCAAAAATTGAGTTGACGGCAACGATTCACCGACAGATGAGATGCGACTGCCATGTGTGCTGAGCAATTGAAAATTTGCAGGAGAGTGGACCTCATGAACCTCAGTAGTTCCCGAGTAATATTGTGTAAGATGAGCAGACTTTGGAAAATTAATCACACTAAAAGTGATGGCACATTACGGAAGGTTCCGTGGCACCCAGATTTGAGGAAGACACTTAGGTAGCTCAATTCCTGGCGGCTCTTTCTAGGCATCGTAAATGATATGGTTAGAGCGGATTTTCTACAACAGAACTTTCATCTCACTAGTGTATCAGAGTACTGTCTGGAAATACGATGGATGATGGTTGGTACAAAGCATATATTACTTGATTGTGAACCTAGCAGACTTATGCAGAGTGGCCGATTCGTTTGCACACATAAGGGGCGCTAATCAATCACTTCACAGAAGACGGGAAAAGTATAGAGCAGTACAATTGCGATTCCACAGAGTCATAGAAACCCCCAAACCATGGTTTCCCCGAGTCAAAGATCTTATTGACTTCTGTGCAAACCGTCCGGGCGGTAATGAAATGGACCGATTCAAAGGAATTGCCAACAACCGATTGTAAGGCTCGGAAACAGGAGAATATGCCTTTGCTACACTGAAAGCCATCGCTTGGATATCCGTATGTAAGCTAAGCCCTTTTGAACTATACGTCCATTTTTAGTTCAAATGGTTCTCCATTATACTAGTGTTCTTCGTTTTTGAGGTAATTTTTCACGTATCCATGGAGTAAATGTCCCGGAAACTTTTCTTATGCATCGCAGCAAGGATTCATATACTCGGAAACCTGTGCTTTATTCTGAGGATATTGTGGTAAACATTCATCGTAAGCAAGAAACACCACCTCATGAAGCGAGACACCTCCAACGTTTTTTATTCACCTGAAATGTCCTGATTATCTACTTTACAGTGCGATATGTCTTGTGTTGATCATATGTATAATTTTGAAGATCAGATCATCAGAATGCCGACTTGCGCAGTACACTGGCATTTTCTCTACCTTTCTAGTTGGTTTTAACCTTTCAAAAAAACTGCAACAAGTCTGTTGTGCCTTACCTTATCATCCGCAGAAATCTGATTAGTCAGCTGTGCGAACTGGGGAAGTTTGCTAAGCTCTACCAGATTCAACCAAGTCATATCCTGTATCCATTTCTTTGGCTTCGGCTTGACAGCGTTCAGATCCAAGGCTGCTCCACCTGAAACGAACCGCATGATATGGGTGATAAAGGATAAGGAGAACGCGGTTCTCAGTTGGGATGCTGCCCAGTACCGGTTCCGCAATCCCTCACTTTACTAAACTTGGCTGTGAGGTAGTGATTTGCAATAACATGGTCATGGTGAATAAGCTTGAGGAATGAAACCAACTCCAGAGTAAAAAAAGGCAGTCGACCGGCCATAGGAGCCGTGAGTGCCCAGATCGCCCATGATATTGACGCATTCACAAGAAATATCCAACAGGAATCCGTCCCCCAGAATTTATGATGTGCTAAAACTGCCACTTGTCTCCGTATCCGATAAAGCGACCCTAGTCACTCGAATTTGTCTTCCATGGGAAGCGACACTTCGAGGAGCGTGATGGGATCCACAAAGCTATGTACAGCTTCCATCGTTAGGTGTATTATTGACAGTTCATAAAAATTTTGCAATCACGGAAGAAAACTGGAAAATTTACCATGCGAACTATGTGAGTATTCGGTGAATATACACCATTTTAGGTGCAAATTAAGACGAGGTTCCTGTGTATCGATCAACGAGTAGCGTCGAAGGTGTTTCCTTGGATTCGGCTTTTTCACCGAGATTACTATGCTTCCATTCGTCCCATCTATTCATTTCTGCTTAAAATACCGATGCGAACTCGTTGATTGATTACATCAGCCAGGTAGGTTTAGCAACGGACATCCCGGTCCGGAAGTATGCAATCAACAAGCCGATGATTCGTCACTGTCCGGAGGTGGGAAACGCACTCTCTTACAATGGGTCCGTTTTACCGCGTTGAAAAGTTCCGTTTACCAGGTGGTGACAGTCCATTTTCCTCATTATAAGTGGGCCAACTACTTGCTTTGCTTCACTCATTTTTGTCTTCTTCTATAGCTTTTCGAACTTTAAAACTCACTTTTTTCTTCCATGAACTAAGTATTGATAAGACACATGGATGTGGAGTCCCATCGCATATTCATCTTGAACATAGTTGATTAAAATAGCAGGTGGTACACTCATTTCTCCATACGGAACTTTAAAGTAAGCAAATTCGACTGAATTGACTAGTGTTCGTGTTCGACAGGAACCACTGTCTTTTCCGTTAACGTATGTAGCAGTACGGCCACGTTAGGACATGGGCTGTTATTGGCTAGGTTGTCAGACACAGGTAATACTGCAAGGTGAAGTAACAGACGAAATACACTTGTTCACAAACAAATTCGGTTTCATGAGAGACTCACCTGGAACCCAGCTGAACCTATAGTTGTGGTGCTTTCAGGCAAAACCAAATTTGTTTGCGAATGAGTGTATTTCACTAATTTCGTGCAATTTGGTTTCAAGTAGGACATAAAGTTGACGGGAACTCGGGGAATGCGCCTATTTAATGAGCCCCAAGAAGGGCGGAACCGGTCGTGGGCCCTTGAGGAGATTTCAGCAACCTTATGAGTAGTGCATTACGTGAAGTTATAGGCGTTCGTTTTGCCGAAGGATACGAAAGATGGAGAGTTAAGAAAGCCTGTGAGATCATTCGTTCATTTTTACGGCCGAGTACGGCTGAAGCGCTTTTTTCGAAGCTTTTGTGGCGGATATTTATGGGGATCTGGAAAGTAATAGTAATTGACTGCCTAGTTGTGTGTGCAACTCACTGGTGGAATATGTTTTCGTTAGTTTGCCTACTGATGCTCTATTCAAACGCCTGGTCAAACTTGTCGGTCTCAGATGTCTATTCACGCAGTTCACTGTACTTCTTCAACATTCGTTGGTTGAATTTCACATCTGGTCTGTAAAGCAAACTACATACAGACGGTTGGATGTTTCCGAGAAAATACTCTTTATCCTATCGATCTGTATTAGACCATGTGGTTGTCACCAGCTTGGTTGTAAAACGTACACCAATTTATTGATGCTACACAAAGTTAGCCACTGTAAAAGAATTCCTCTTGGAGAATTTCGAGAAATACAGAAAAGTACAGCATGTGGCTTTGCTTCGTTTTTCATTTTCAACTGTAACAGACTTCGAAGACTCGACTTACTCAGTAAATGAAAGCAATGAAAGAATACCTATTTCACCAAAATTTCAACAAAATTGTCATTCAAGACACAGGTCATTTAAGGAGACATATCAAAGATCTTCAAACGGCTATTCAGATGTTATGAGAGTCAGATCTTCTGTATTGCACACGCAGTTTATTGCTGACAGTTTTACTTGAAGCAATTTATGATCCCATAGGCTGTTGCTCACAGGTACAAAGTTTCCTGTCATCACTTGAACTTCATGAACGATCAAAGTAACAACTCGGAGGATTTCACAAGCATCATTCTGATACACTAGTTTACACCTTGGGAGAGAGATGAGATGATAACTGAATCCTTTCCTATGGCGATCCAACGAGTAGAATCGTTGATAGAGCAAACAAGACGGGCCCTGTCTATGCCAAACTTAATGAAAACGGTCTTGGGAGCTCGTTAGATAAATCTTCCGGATAGGACGACTAGCAGTGAAGTGAAAAAGGGAGGAAAGGTGACACACAGACCACCAGTCCGACGGACAAAGTGACAGTATTGATAGAGCAATTTACGCCATAAAGTAAACTAAAGTAAACAAAGTAAACTAAATAACCAGCCTGATGGGACACACAATCTAGTATCGTTTCAGGTCAACTTGTGATACTGAGTGATATATGTGGTAATTGGTTGATCACTCGCATCCCAGCTGTCCTTCAATTAACGTTTGACTATTCGTCATCCTATCGGGAGGCCTATTCTATGCGGAGTTGTGGCATGAAAATGGAAAATGGATTGTTGCAATCGCTTCGATTATTTCCACCTCGCCATGTACTTCGAGTGGTTACATTAGCTGTTGACCTGTTCATCAAGCATGATGGTTGGATTGCAGACTTCTTGTCACCATCTGAGGTGGCAATGTTATTACGCTGTTGGATAGGTGCTTTTCCTATCAGTTCAGAGACCCATGCGGATAAATGGGAATACGTAATGGACAGCGTACCAAATATATCGAAGTTGATTGAGTATGCTTTGCACCACGTAGTGTGCACGACTGTTTACCACAAAGTCTTCATTGGTAAAATACCCTCTAGTTTCGTGATATGCGCACTGCTGATTGCTCTGTACAGTGCTTCTCGGCCTTCCAGCACATATCTGCTGCACCAAAAGAACGAAATCTCAGTTGAAACTTACCGAATCGCCTCACGCTACTGTCAATCCGCAAGCAGCTACATATGAGAAGTCGTCATTCTAGTAGCCAGTTGTTAGGTGACGACATGTTTTGGTTTATTGATAGAACAACGAGTGATGCTAGTTCCTGTTTGAGTGCGGATTAATCACCCTATTGATCAGCTGCTCGTGGCTGAGTGGACGTGTTCAACCATTGGCCGGAAGGTTGCTGATTCGGAACTCCCTACTGGAGTTTTGTGGGATGCGCACTGCTGATGATTCCCAATAAGGATGAAACAGCTGTACAGTGCTTCTCTGTTTCTCAGCATAGATTTGATTCATTGAAAGGATCAAATTCCAAACGAAACTTAACAAATCTCAAACTACCATGGCCAGAGGAAAAAATAAGGATGAAACAGCTGTACAGTGCTTCTCTGTTTCTCAGCATAGATTTGATTCATTGAAAGGATCAAATTCCAAACGAAACTTAACAAATCTCAAACTACCATGGCTCAGAGGAAAAAAACTGAAAAAACGAGTGAAACTTCCATCTGAAGCATCTACTGAGCCAACCGAATACAGTGAAACCAAACTGCATTACAACACAGGTATATAGAGGGTCCGCAAAAACCCAAACAAATGAGATGTTATTGGCTACACCATTTAGGCGCAAGCAAGTGAAAGTGTGAAGTCCTCCTAAGGGTACACTGTCTACTACATTGTTGACGAAATCCTGTAAACTCAATCTCAAACTCGGTGACCAGGCAAGCAACTAATGTATCAGGACCTATGAATTTCTTCAGCCTGTATGGGTGCTCTAGTCCAAAAATGTGTGCAGGTCTGAAAACACAGCTGGTAGTGCTACTGTTTTTAGGTAGTAAAACCGGTTATTTCGTAACTCCTGGCCTCATATCAGTGCAGAATTTCGCTTAGGAGCGTCAAGGGGTGCTAACATACACATCCTGACTACACATCCGAAGCTGGTATGTATTTTTGGGGTGAAAAGGAGTATGTGAAAAATATTACAGACGAGTGCCAAGACGCTTAAAAGTAAGGGTTAAACCAACAGTAAGTATTCCACCGGTTCGTATTTATCAAACTTGGGATTTCCATGCCTTACATGAATCCTTAATTCTCCTACCTGGGAATCCTCCTGTCTGAAAACAGCTGTTCAGTGACACGAGTTGTGCTAGTATTGTTCCCTAGTGTGTTCCATGAAACGAGACAGGTTTAGCACAAAAATGTGGCACAACGATGGCAGAAAACTACCAATCTCACCTTTGATAAAAATCTGGAATTCCTCATTGTTCACTTCTCCCCTGTGCATAGCGATTTTGAGTGTAAGGAACACTGTGAAGGTAAACTTGTCCAGTTCGTAGAAACCTCTGGCTGTGTAGCGATAAACAAGGAATGTCAAGTAGTCAATTATGTTCGCAATACGCTTCTGGTTTATTGGAGACTTCTCTGATCTAGCCATGGATAGGTCAAACAATCCCAAGAATTGCCTCAGCGATGTTTGGTACATCACGTTCACCATGCTCATTTCCACGACCAAAAAGTAAAGCAGTGAGCCACGAGCAGCGACTGGTCGAAATTCCTCTCGGGCTGCATTGATCTTCACCTCAGTTTCCGCGGCCACATTCAATTTTTCTTGAACTTCTTCAGAGGTTGCTTTGGTGATTTGAAGCATTTCTATCAGTGACTCATCTTCAACCAGACTACCTTCAGTGGTAGTTAAGCGATACAACAAATTATCCTCCAGTTCCTTCATTTTTCTTCGATTGGCGGCAACTTGCTCCAGAAGCTTGGTTCGCTCCGTTTCAAGTTCCTATAACGAACATACAAGGCATTGTTTCACTAGTTGCAGTATATAGATTGGTAAAAAGTTATACTTCCAGATGAACTTAGTGAACATAATTGTCACTCCAAACTCCAACAGTCTCACAGGACATTTTGTAATGCAATCTACCGTGCACTGAGATTGAAAAAGTATCAGCGCCCTCATTACGTCCAATAAAGATGTCCCCTTGTCCCCTACAGAAGAAACCACCCGAGGAATCAAATCAGGAGTCGTTCCTTCTAAATGTTGGTTCCTCCTGATAGAAATAATAACTGAACCTAATTTGGGATTGGACACAGGTTGCAAAACATAGTTCAGAAACTTGTAGATGACTCTACTAAACAGTGCCTGCTCGATTTAGTGGTCTGAACAGTCCTAGGATTGTTTTCCCCAAAACAACTCAGCTCACTGCAGGCGATAAATCACAGAGATATTTTCAACAAAAAGCAGTGGCTACTGGCCATGGGGAAATCAGCTATTTGACAAAATCCAGGGTTCCCTCTGTAATCGTAGTTAGATACTATGGATGTTAGTCAGCCATAGCACAAGTTAATTATATGGTAGCAAAATCCGATCAAGAATATCTGGCTTGACTGATCTGTCTAGGGTAGCTTGCTTAAAAAGAGCGCGCTACAGTGACGGAGCGTCTGGTCTCTTTTAGATGTGGCATGTCTTTAGAGGATCATACGCTGCAGAGGCCTCTCCTGAAATGATCATTGACTGACCGTTTGCAGCGAAGTGATAAGCACGATAATGGTGATGCAAAAACAACCCCGTTAACCAACCTTTTTCTCTGTCATGATGACCAAACCCAGAAGCTGGTCCTCCAAACCACGTCTGGTAACGGTAAAGTCAATTACGGCCGTCCTTGCATAAATTTCCGGTGTATAGGCTGGATTGGGCAGTTTGGTTGTGATGTACAATCTGAACCCCTTCAAAACTTCACACTCCTTATCTCCCAATTTGACTTTCAAGGCAGATCCAGATTTAATAAAATTCTTCTCCAAGATGTTATCCAATGCAGGATCTAGCTCTTCGCCGACATCTTCAATGAGCAATGGTCGTCCCAGCGCCAAAGCATCTTCCAAATGTGTCCGGAAGTATTTGTGATTCAATGATGTAATCTAGATGAAGTGGTCAACAAAAACGTGAAATGAGTCACGTATTTTCTTTCGAGATGGGTATAAATTATGCTTTCGGTCTGCAAAGTTGGAAGTTGCTTTAATGCTCTATTGAATGGGATCTGCAGCAAGATGAGGGTTGCTGTGTGTATACAGCTTGAACAGACTAGGACAAGTGACTGATTAAGAATGACGTTGATGAGAATTCATTATATTCTTTTGTTACTTGTAAAGTAAACCTACTGCATTCCGGCGGATAAGTGGGGCAAAAATGGTTAAACCAATGGCTAACCTGCAATTCGTTTGCTTCTTCTTTCCGCTTGATCCATGCCTTTCCCTGACCTTGAGGATCAATCAGGAGGGGATAGCGTGTGGCTCGTGTCACAACTAGTCCATTCTGAACGGACAACTCATCCGTCGGAAGTCCTTGCACGTTCCATTCTGAAAGGGTTGCGTTGTCTACCAACATGGTAATGAAGTTCACATCCTGAGGTGTAAGAAACAACAGCAGAAGTATTCAGTCACTTTATTCCTGAAGAATAATGTTCGCGGAATAGTAATTGTTCCTTACACTCAAGCATATCAACCCACATTCACTTTAGAACACCCCTGGCTTGCCAGAGGGGCAGTTGAATGCTCAATTTTGGATTTCCTCCAAGGCTAAGTTATTTTATACTGAAAAGTTGAGTATACCTGACCAAAGGAGCTAGGGAAATATACTATCTCTCAACCTACAGTCACCAGTTTTTGGCAGATCACCGATTAGTTCCGGATATAAGGACGTCTGCGAACCCACAGTCCGACGATATCGATCATCCGAAGCGAAATTTTGAAGAGACTAAATCTGCCGATCAGGAGAAGTTTTAAACTTTATTAGAAACCGTAAAAAAGATGAAATTTGTCACTAGGACTGAATATTCTACAGTCATTCGGTCGTACTAGTGTTACCACAAGAAATCGCCTCATAGTCTGTGCTCTTTGCACATGACCCAAACAATCTTTCAGCTACTCAATCTAGCGTGTTAGCGGGTGTCCTGAGGCAGAAAGCGGGCTCATTTTTCATTATTATTATTTTTATTATTATTATTATTATCGAGAGCATAACATCAGTGTTCAACACTGACCCTTCGCTACCGTACAACAATGATTTATTTGAAAGCCTTACTGTGAAGGGAAGGAACTTAACGCCAGCCACACAGGGTCAATGCAATCCCTGTAAGACCGGAATCCCACCTGCTTCTCTCGAGTCAGTGTACCACGAGCCACCATAAGGTGACGAAGCAAAGTGATGCCAACAGCCTCATTACGACCGGGGTCAATCTGATCCTCTTGTGATTACCACATTCACTGCGAGCCTCTTTTTTGAAAGTAGCCACTATCACCAATTCTCTCCAGTTGTTTAGGACGATCTCCTTTTCCCAAATGCAGACAGACAAATGAACGAAGCGCTGACTGAAGACTTAACTCCTCTTTTTGAACAAAGCGGGTGAGAGGTCATCCTTACCAGAAGCTCAGTGGAGCTGGAGAGAATATATGCAGTCGTAAACCTCTGAGACTGTAGGCAAAGATTTCAAGACGCACTCTAACTGGATGAAATTGCATTTTGACCCTGATTGGTGGCAAGTCTATGATCGACTGCAAATTTCGGGCCATTCTGTTTTGGGATGGGGGGATTTAGGTTTAGGTTAAAATTTGACATGAAAAAGCTTGAGACACATCCTCACCTAGGTAAATTGTTAGATACCAACAAGTTAGTACGTACAGATAAGGGGGATGAGACCTTTGCATCACTCACAGCTCTGCTAGCCTACCGGGTACAGTATCTACCGTTGTACAAACACTCAAAGCACATTGCATGACCAGGAAATCCTGACCTTTCTGCAAACCTGCACTTCATACACATTCGTTCATCAGAAATAGCTGTAAGATCCCATAGTGTGAAAATACATCCAAGTGTGCATTTTGCACCGCCGGGGCGGTTAGTTGCACCGCGTGCCGCTATTGTGGTCATTCTCACGTGATCTCCGGCTCACACCCACACATGCGCATGGGAATCGGTTGATGCGATAGGGTTCGGCCACTTCAGAGAATGACGGACAGCAGTCTGAGTAAAGTACTGGGTCTTCACTGTCTATTCTCATCATATAAACCAATTGCAGATAAAAGAAACTCACTTCAGAAAACGGAATTTTATTTTGTACCAGTTCCCTGCGCCAGTGTTTGGTCAAGAGCGAACGGAATTCTTGATTGAACGGTCCAGTGTAGGACAAGAATCCTGTTGCAAGCAGAACATCCCCGACGAGGCGATTAATTTGTTCAGTGAACAGTTTGCTCGCTTCCGTCCAGCGTATCTGCTCGCCTGGATATAAGTGAGATTTCGTATGCAGTTATCAGCAGTTTGGGAGATGTAGGGACCCAGCGAAATATGGTTTACACAGTAGCTGGAAACACCACATCCCTTCTATAATTCTTGCTGGTAAAAACTGGCAACAACTTGCTTTCAGTAGCGATATGGATCAAGATAAAGTATAACGATGGTTCGCTAAACAGCTTACATCGATTCTTCCCAGACTCAAAACAGTTTGAGAGAAATGCTACTGATAAATAAGTTTGTTTCATCAAAAGATAGGCTATAAGGGTCATAGGTTGAACGGAGACATGAGAAGTTCAACGTTTTGTCGACAGATATTCCTGAATTCCGTAATCTGGCCGCAATGAATCGGAAAATATGGATCGGCTGCATTTCCACGACGTTACGAGTCCTTTAGAGAGACCTTATCAAACCAGTATAACATCATCCACAACATGCACATTTTACACAGAAATGACGACGTGGAGCGAAACCTAGAAACCTATGGGATCACCCGGGCACTTGAATGCAAAAGACAGGAGCTTAATTTGTGAGTTGTATGAACCTCTGTTCACATGAGCTGAGTGGGCAAGTGGGTTATGATTACTGATACAAATACACACATGTTGACGTTCAATTAGACAGGTTACACTCACGCAATCAGTCAACAGCGATGTGCAACCGGTAGTGGACCTGTAAGAGTTTGCTTAGGTGTTCTATTACCCAGTTTGGTTACACAGACGATATAAAGCCTGTGTGAGGGCCGTGATATCAACTAGGTACGAAGGCCATAAAAGAATGATCAGATGACGCCAGAATGGATGAAATGACTTGCATATGAAGAGGAATATGAATTGAGCTAAGACCAAAAGAACAACGGCTGTGCTGGACTTCAATACACTTGCTCACTTACCAGCCAGGCCACCGATCAGCGCTGTGGCATTGGTCATTTTACGTCGACAAGCATCTGCCTCGTCCATCAAACGCTGTTTATCTGCCATTGCTCGATCGTATTCGGCCTGGACAATGTTCAACTCTCTCTGTTTTTCATCAAGCTGACCTTGGGCAACCGCGAGTTCTTTCATAGCTCCCGCTAGGCGGTTTTCCTGTCTGGCCAGCATTGCCTGGAACATAAGATTGGAAGCATATCAGCCTTGTGATTTACCGGTTCAAGTGTCAAGTAACTAAACTTGTGGAAAGGTCTGGGTAACAGTTATTTCCAAGCCATTCGAACTTTTTTTAAAATGGTGGGTCTTCATTCGGCTTCGAACGCTGTTTGGTTTCATGCTTCAGTTCGACGTCCAGATTGTATCCCATTTCGAGTGTGAATTCTATTTGTTTTGAATATATCTTACTACCCCAGTCCATCCTCTATCTCATTTTGGAACGGTCCTGAAAAATTAGCAAAGGTATTCAGGTGATGAAAATTTGGAAAGAAAGTCACCACCCCTTTGCTTAACCATGGCGTCTTGCCTACTGTTGGGGATCATAGGTCCACATATTCTCAAGGAGGTAGGTCCGCCTACACATCTATCTGAGAAGTTATACAAAGCAAAGGATGAAGCATCTTTAGTTATGCTAAATGACCATTGTGAGCTTTATGGGCTTCGGCAAATCAGATGTGCAGAGCCCGACCCTCAGACATGTTTTTTCGGACAGAAACTTTGAATTGCAAATGGTAGTGCTATCGAAGATAACTGATCAAGAAACTGGGATCCAATAATGCAAAACGAGAAAATGGATCAGAAGTACCTTCAAGGGTAGCACTTCTTTGTTCACCGCAAAGAACGAAGCCATAGCTTTGGTCCAAGAGCACAGCCCAGCCACATCACCACAAACGCGTCTGGCCTGCTCCATATTATAGTCGTCCATTTGGAAATATGGCTCCATCAGTTCCACGGTTTCCTCATTTATTAAATCCTGTTAGTGGATAAATGAATAAAAAGGTCTTGCGAGTGGCGCATTACAAGTAACTCAAAAGTAAGACGTCTATATTGTCAGGAATCGGTTCGGCAAAAAGTGGTCATTGTCTGTTGATGTCACTTCCCAACAAGGACTATCCAAATTGTCTTTTAGTGGCGATAATATAAATCGGCTCAGCTGAAACTCGACCAGATCTCCTGTTTGTGATATTCGACAGCTGGATTTCAGCAAAGTCTCTCGTTAACATCAACTGGGTTTCAAACGTCTGTGCCACGCGCGAAATTTAGTGTTTAAGCCACGTAACAGATATGATGGAAACTCTGGGATTAGGCTAACCTGTTGAACCTCAGAAAGGGCAAAGCTGGCAATGAACTATCCGGATTTTTCATCGACCTCATGAGTGCCGCCATATGAGGGAAGCATGAATATTGTTGACGATATCAATAATACCATTAAATTCGAGATGATTTTTAGCAATTTGTAGCCGAAAATTTCCAATCAATGATAAGGTAATAACCGAAGAAGAAAGACAGCTTACAAATGTACTCATTTGCATATCAACTGGGTTTTCACTGGAATTCAAATGAATCTCTCCTTTATGATATTCTTCAAGTGAATATGCCGCACAAAGGCCGCCTCATTAAAATTTACCGCAATATCTCGAATTTCATACCAACTGAAACAAGCGGCGGCCTTTCTGCAACACATTAAGTTGAATAATATCATAAACAAGAGGTTCATTTGAGTCTCCCGTCAAAACCAAATTGATTTGCAAATGAGTGGATTTATCGAGATCTTTCCAATTAGGATTCAATTAGAACGTAGGGTTGACGGACGGTCGGGGACTGCGCC